CACACACACACACACACACACACACACACACACACACACACACACACACACACACACACACACACACACACACACACCCTCACACACACACTGGTCTCCTACATTAGTGTAGTCCCACTGGGATTCGGCACACAGGCTGGCGACTCCAGAACAGTAGCACTTGTCACATCCCCGCGCTCGTCCCCCGCTGAGATGGTAAAATCCCTGTTTACAGCGGTCACAGTCGCGTCCCTCCACATGCTCCTGAGGACACACACACACAGCAAAAGTGGGCCACATGCACTGGTAAACACTGGTAAAGCAGCTCTAACCCTTGGGAAGTGTGTTACTTAAACACACGCGCAGGTGTTCAAGCCTCTACAGCACAGGAAAAGTCCTTATTCTTCTGTTTGATGCATTTCAACATGAGTTTATTTGATCTAAAACATCATTTTAAAGGTTTTTATGATTTAACCCCTCTACCGCACGCATTTTGATAAACCTGTAAAAAATATTTGACTGTTTTTCTTTTCTTAAAATGGACTTGAAGTGCTGTAAAAAAAAATGTGGAAAAAAATATATTTTTAAGGTACTTTATGAAATGTTGCCATATGGCAACAACATACAACAGTGGATCTACCCGAGAATTTTTTTTTTGTTTGAAATAATTTAGATGGTGTTGCATCATTATGAGCTTTAACACAGAACTTCTAAATGACACCTTGTACATACTTTACCACAACTCATATTCCAACAGCTTGCTATTCTTTTTTGCTGAATATCATTGAAAACAAAACTTATATTGAACCAGATCTGACCGATTCTGGGCCACAGTTTGCTTTTATTCTGGCCTAGATCTGGCCTACACCTTACACTTGCAGGGTGTGGCAAAGTACAAAAACCCCAGCATGCATGGCAATATGACTACATTATATACCTTACTGATGCTCCAGTTTTCATTATCTGCTGTTGATTCTGCTGTTGACGTTGTTGATTTTGTCTCTTTTAGGGTGCTTTCACACCTGTGAATGGATTCAGTTGCTCCGAAACAGAGATTACAATTGTTACCTTGTTGCTCTTTGCTCTTGGAGCGGTTCGCTTTCACACTGCAAAGTTTCTAATCGGACCAAAAGAGCTAAAACAAGTCACGTGCGAGTAAACTCTCCTCTCATTGGTCAGAGTGTCAGGGTTTATTTTGCAGCGTCCCGCTCAGCTGTCAGGAGAGGTGGTGGTTTGGTGGTGATTGACAGGGTGCGCACGACGTGTCTGAGGAGAGATGCGGTGGGGAGGGGTGAGAAGGCTGCGCGACGATGCCTATTTGAGGACCGGGAGGGAGACGCAAGATTACCGGGAGATCATCACTCTTTTGCGGGCATCCGGAGACTCGCGAAACTTCCTGCCCTACTCATAATTCTCTCTTCATATCTCCGTATGCCTATTACATATCCATAAAACACTGTGATATAACCGCGCTCGGATCGCTTTCTCACTGCAATCGAACCGCTCCAGGGTTCATTTCAATAGAGCCGAGACCACCTCATTCAAGCGATCTCGGAGCGATTACTTTGGCGCGGAACAGAGCGCGATTGCCCTGTTCACATATGCCAAACGAACCGCGCTAACTGGGCAAACGAGAAAGTTTCCAAAACAAAAGTGTAGGTGTGAAAGCACCCTTAGTCTCCTGTTTGTGATGTTTGTGAGTTTTGTTCGTTGTGTTGATTGTCATCATTTTTGAGGTTCATACGCTGAATATTGATGTCTCTGTCAGCAGAAGTTGAACCAAAGTAATTTTCAGCGGTACGCAGTTGTACAAATCTACATTTGATTATTGAATTATGGGAATTATTGGCTCGACATGTTTTGATTTAAAGAACATGTTTTAGTCTCCTGCCTTACCCAGAACATAAAAACACATATAAACACATTGAGATCATTTACTTTAATCAGTACTATAAGAACGTGAATTGGTCTAATCAGCAATAATGATGAGACGGCCTACAGGGAGGAGATACAGCATCTGGCCACTTGGTGCACCAACAACAATCTGCTCCTTAACACCAACAAGACCAAGGAGCTCAGTGTGGACTTCAGGAAGGGACGAACAGGCTCACATGATCCCATCCACATCAATGGGATGACCGTTGAGCCTGTCTCATCCTTTCAGATCCTGGGGACCCACAACTCAAAGGACCTTTCCTGGACCACCAACACCTCCAGCCTGGTCAAGAAGGCTCACCAGCACCTATTCTTCTTAAGGTAACTTAAGAAGAACCAGATTTAATCAGCCGTCTTGGTGAACTTCTACCACAGCACAATAGAAAGCATCCTGACCAACCGCGTCACAGTCTGGTATGGGAGCTGCTCTGTTGCTGAGCAGCGGGTGGTGAAAACTGCCCAACGCATCACAGGGACCACACTGCAAGCCATAGAGGACATCCAAAGGAAACACTGTCTGCGCCGAGCATGCAGTATTCTGAAGGACACCTTTCACCCCGCTCACAAACTGCCTTCCGGCAGGCGCTTCAGGCTCCCCCATACAAAAACCAGCAGACTGAAGAACAGCTTTTTCCCCAGAGCTGTCTCCCTCTTGAACTCTGCCCCTCACTGCCCCTCCAATACACCCCCCACTTTCCTCTAACATATACTCCTCACAATCACTGCACTGTTTAACATTTGCATATTTAAAATTTGCACATATCTATTACACTACATTGCACTGATTCACTTATTTGAACTGTACATATACACTTGTAATCATCTTTATTTATCTGCACACTACAGATTATTAATAGCAACCTGCACATATATGTTTATATATTGTAAATCTGTTCATAGCTAATCCAACCTGTATATACTGTTGATATTACATCCATCTGTAAATATGACCATAGTTTTTCTATAACTGCACTTTATAACTGGTACCTGCGTCCTGCACTTGCTGCTTTTGCACTGCTGGTTAGACCTAAACTGCATTTCGTTGCATTGTACTTGTACATGTGTGATGACAATAAAGTTGAATCTAAACTAATGTGAAGAGACTTTCAACCAGCACAACAAAACATGTTTCTGAAGACAATCACCTACTGCACCTTTAATAACATTGTGTACATTTTTGGGTGAACTCACGCTTTAAAGAGACTGCTATCAACTTCTGAATGCCAATCAAAAGGGAGAACTTTTCTAACAGTTTCTCACAACTTCCCTCAGACGTACTTTTCTGTTTCCGTCACCAGGCTGTGTTCTGACACTTTGCTTTATTTCTGTATATTTCAGCTCTCGGCAGGTTTGGCATCAGGCAGCGGCACCTGGAGCGAGTCCATCCCGTCTGTGGGTGTAATTTACTGATGTTTCCCAATGTTCGTTTAGACTGGCGCAGACATCACTCAACAGATCAGACCATCTACAGCCTCTTCATTTACACTCTTCACCTCTACTCGTCTGCTCATCCATCCAGAGGAGTCCTGTGAAATCCTCCACAATCATCTGAAGACCTGCGTTACAGAAGAGGCTGATCTCACATTTACACCATTTCTCAGTTGGTGCACTGAAACTCTCTCAAGAGTTCACACTTAGCTGTTGATTGAGAATAAAGCTTGTTTCAAGAGTTCACACTTAGCCAATGATCTATCAAAGCTTGTTTGGCATGCTGTCCCGGGAGAGAGCCCCGAGCTCAAGGGATCCTCGAGCCCGGGGCTCCCCCCCATTCGCAGATCTGAGAAGGGGCTAAAGTGTGCATGGTTCTTAAGCGTGATGTATGTCTTTAGATGGTGGGAGGAAACCGGAGAGCCCGGGGAAAACCCACGCGAACACGGGGAGAACATACAAACTCCTCACAAAAACTCCCACCGGCTAGGGGAAACTAGGCCAGTGGTGTTCTTGCTGTGAGGCTCTCAGTGCTAACCACTGGGCCACCGTGCCGCCCAATCAAATGTCAAGGAGGAGAATAGGGGAGGAAGGGGGGTTTCTTCCAAACGAAGATAATGTTGACTGAAAACTGTGGCTCTTTATAGTAGCTTAAGGCTCATATGATTGGAAGATAATGATTAGCTAATACGAGACCGGCCGTGATAAATCATAAGCACGTGATCCTCTCGAAATTAGCTTATAAACAAACTTCACTTGGCGTGCTGTCCCGGGAGAGAGCCTTGAGCTTTTAAGATCCTCGAGCCCTGGGTTCTCTCCCGTTGCAGGGCGAGAGGGGAGTTTGAGCTCAGGTAGATCTCGATGACTCCCCCTCCTACTTATTGTAGCTAAGTGTCAGATATGGATGCTGAAGGTGTACTCAGAGTTTAGCTAAAATATTTTGGATTAATTGTTTAGGGTGCTTGTTTTTGAACTGTGGGAGGAAACCGGAGGACCCGGGGAAAACCCACGCGATCATGGGGAGAATGAGCAAAACTCCGCACAGAAATGTCAACTGGTTTGGAAGGGAATTAAACCAGGGGCGTTCTTGCTGTGAGGCAACAGCGCTAATCGCTGGCCATCGTGTCGCCAGTTTGAAACGAGGGAAGTAGGGATGGGTGGGGGGGTTTCTTCAAGACGAAGATATTAGCCCCTTTCACACAGTAATACCGGTAAATATCCGGAAAATTTCCGGAACTACTTTACCGGTATGTTCAAAAAAACGCTGTTAACACAGGCGAGGACGTTACGGAATTTTTCCGGAAAAGAGCATTCACACATCCATCGCAAAATGGCGGTAAATTCTGACATCATTAACCAGAAATGACCTCTAAAAGGCTGCGCTTGTGTTTGTAAACATTTGACTACATTACAAACTCTTCGGATGGATCAGTATTGAGTACAACTCTAATGAAAACATAGGGAAACACTTTCGCATGTCGAGATGTTCTAATATCTGTGTGTGCTGGCGCTATGGGCACTCACGGGCACACGCAAAGCTTGAAGGTAAACAAACAACGGATTATCATAAACATTTTATCGATGATTATTTACACAGCATTAAGAAGGAACATAGAAACATTATCTGACTAACATCTAGCAGCTAAAGGTGTCTGGAAAAAATATTCAAAGGCTTTAATTCTCATAAACCGCGCCCACGTGAATGCGTCTGACTGTTGTGATTGGCTAAAGCAGACGTCTCACGTCAGCACGTTCTAGACGTGCACGCGCTTATTACGGCAATCTTCTTTTGCATTCACACAGCGCAGCATTCCGGCAAATTACCGGTAATGTTACAACTTCTCTTTCCGGAAAATAGCCAGAACGAATTTACCGGTATTTTCAAAAAGGACCTGTTCACA